CTGCTGAATTTTCAGCATGGCATACGTTTCCTAGTGTATGTTAAACAGAGCCTAATAAAATTCTATTATACACAACTTTGGAAACTTTTAAATGATCAAAGAAAAGTCAAACTACTAGTTACTATTCAGTAACATAACATGTCGCAGAACATTTATGTTTAAAAATTGGTAGATAAACAAAATGAATAATTCGCTTGCATTACTTATAGAGTATTAATACATGGAAATAATGGCGATAGTTGGGAAAAGTTTCAACTTTTGTGACCGCTCTACAGTCTAACGTATATCAGTTAGCAAAAAGCTTTTAGACCAGATCGATCCCTCCTGCTAGGTGCTTAATTTGTGGATTAGAATTGTAGTGAACTCAAACTCAGGTACGGTAAACTAATTAACTGTTTTATGAAGAATCACACAGTGCCTTTGTAAAACATGAAAATCGTACATCAAATACACCACTCACATATGTCCTATCAGTTGTCCTTTACATACTTCATCATTCTTCCGATCCCGTTCTTATTCCGATTGCTCTTTGATTTCATTCCTCCTCTCTTTATTTTACTCTTCTGATGGTAAGCATTCTACTTCGAATTTCTGCTGCATACTAATGTTTTTCCGAAGAAGTGGTGCACGTCACAGGATAAGGCACTTTCAAATAACTTAGTAAAGGAAGTCTGGATATAAAAATTATATTGAAATATCGGTATCAGGCACAGAATTTCCAATTTATCATTTCTAAACTCTAGTGGATCAAAGTATTTTTTATTTATTCTGGATGTCATTGGTTCAATATCTACTTTACTGCCTTAAGTTTGATCGTGAGAATCGATTAAGACAAAATTGTAAAAAATATCACGTTGTTCCACACTAAGCATATCTGTCCCAGTTAACCTAATATCAATAAAACTGCCTGTTATTGCAATTAGACTCTCAATATAATTAAGCAAATGAAGACAGTATTCTATTTACTCAAACCTTACTATTTAGAAATATAACCTGCAAATCACAAAAAATGACTTTCTTATTTTAATCCCACGTGGCTAGGTTACCTAATATAAAGCCAGATAATTATCACGTTCACTTACTGAGTGTTTCGCTTATATCGCCTATAGGATCGATGATTTTCTGCTGTACTAATAACACAGTGACCGAGGAAAAACGACCTAGATTTTAACGCCTATTGGTCTTCGAGGTCCTCCCAACCCAGTGTATAATCAGAAGACGAAGTTAGCAAGCAGATATTTTCTCTATGGTCCCGTAAGTCATCATAAATAAAAAATTCATGAATTTTCACACATGAATTGTCAGATAGTAACACATCAAATAGGGATTGTCTTTATATACGATTAAGACGAAAGTGGTACAGAATGGAACAGAGGGTGGATAATTAATTTCCAATGGTTAAGGAATAGTAGAGTATAGAGTGACAGTTGAGTCGTCTGACAAAAGCTAATAATACAAGCAATACAGGAATAAAAAACTCCAGTTATTGTGTATATAACGAAAATCCGTAGGAGTTATAAAACTGACAACTTTCTTAACACTCGCGCTCTCATAACCATAACTTTCTAAATAAACAAGTAGTGAATTAACTTACTATGATAGGCTTCCGAGTTTGAATTTCCGAAATTCAGTCATACAATGTTCTACAATTTTGAGAAACTAATTAGATTTGGAATAAAAATATGACGAACCTAATGACATTTCTTATCACAAACATAACGCTTTCTATTTGTTTTTCTTTAAATCGTCCGGAAATGCGGACACACTATATCCATTAGGAAGAGCTGATATATTGTTGTTTGGATTTACATGCAGAATAACCTGTAGGAAACATAAATAGACCAATTAACTGGGCAAAATCTATTTACCATTTGCAGTATTATTGCATTCTTTCTCACTAACCATCCATTTTTAAAATCTGTTTTCTGATGGGCTAGAAACAAGTCAGAAATTCGTTACGTTTGTTTTAAGATCTTCCGCACGCTATGATGTCACCTTAATAAGAATACTACATAGTTTAATGAAATCCCAGTTTATGTTATTTAACAAGTTATTTGATGAGATGTGAAGCTAAATAGATTTTGCTTCGGTCTACAAATCGAAATGTCACTGAACCCTAAGTAAATCATCCGACAGTCGAGTCAATGATTATCAGATAATTGAACGCCTTGGACTGGCCCATGCAGCAGTAGTCGCACTCTGTTCCTTGTACCTACTCTTACTAATACAATTCTGTAATAATATTGTTTGTGTTGTACGGTCATCGAGGTATCCATAGTACCTGGATACAACGAAAGAGAAACCCACGTTATGTATTAACCGTGAGGATTGACTTCAACATTTAGCCGTCTGACTCGAATAGGTCCCCAATCATTCGACACAGATCATCTACGTTGGTGATCTACAACACTTAGGGCTACGGAAACGAGGTAATTCATCTGAAATTCATAAATGCATGACATTTAAAATTCCGAGTTATGGCTGTTAACTAAAGTAATAGCTGCTGAATACCAGAACTTACTACATAACAGAGGATAAAAGTAGAACATAATACCAAGTCAAAATGTGATAGAAGACGTCTTACGTAATAACGTTGTTAACGACTAGGAAAAATCTTTGTATGAACATAATATTTCATTACCTATGAGTGTTACGAAATCCATTCGACTTTTTAGTAAGAATTCCCAACAAACAATGCTCAATCGAAGTGGTTATGTTATTTGATTATTATGTCTAAACTGTTTAGAACAAAAACAGTGAGGTACATATATGCATTTATACATTTACCCGAGGTTCCTAATTTTGTACACTTATGAATACAGTGAGAAATCACTTTTGATAAGTACTTATCAACTGAAATTTATTTACATTACTGAAAACTGTCTGGTAAAATAAGAAAGTATGGTTGTGTGAAGCTTCAAAATTAGACTAACCTCGATTTCAATATGACTGACTATAAAAACAGTAGTCTTCTTTCATTTGTTTATTCTTTTCAACCCATACACTATGTTCACTACTATTTCTAGTTTCTCATCCACCAATTTCTTTGTAGTAAATACCTCTGACTGAAATAATTATTGATCTTATTACTAAATGAAGTGAAAATGAGTAGCTTCCTTTGAAATGAATCTTTACTGACTGTATTGGCTTTATGGAGTATCAAACATGTAAGTCCCATTCGAAACTGACAAGATCTAAAATAGTACGAAGATTTGTCAGCTAGTCGAGACGAGCATCTAACTTTTCATGGTAGAGAATATCTATGAGGATAGCAAATCACATAAACACTTCTAATTTTCTTATTACACTCTTTAGATTCTTACATAACCTACTTTTAATATATGAAAATGTCCAACACTGTTAACAAAGCAATTCAATAAACTCAGTGTAATAATTATGGGCCGAATTTCGTAATTTTATGAAACGTCAGTATGAGGTTGTGCAGATTGTTGGATTTTATTGAAATCATGAACTGATCTAAGTTAGACCACCACTGGAAAGATGGAATCACGAAACGGATATTTAGTCCTAGTATGGGGCTCCTCATCAGTGTGCACCCAAGACCCTGTACGCACGGACCAAACCCAGAACCGTTGGTCTCGCACACACATTATGTTTAAAATCTATTCAGAACTCACACGATAGCTTTACTTAAAATTTAACTTTAGGGAATTTATGATTGTTTCACCAATAAAATCATTGCAACTTTTAATTTCTTCACAACTGATTAATAATTTTTTGGCCTTAATCACATAAACTTCCATTTAACCCGTTTTGGATCAACAGACATACAAATGGTTTTAGTTAACCCTATATCTTATCGGATAAACACTGTAGACAGTTAAAAATCACACCCTACCACAGCATTTACCAGCTGGTCTCCCTTTATGTTGATTCAAGAAATTGTAGTGTTAGATACTTACATACAAATGGGAAGTAATTAGTTACTCCAGTGGTACATGAAGTATCAAATGCCTAGTTTTCAGTGCGAAATGAGCTCGTTACTGATGAACAGAAATATTGGTAAAATGATTAAAATGCTCTTGCCAGTTTGTACTTGCCTTCGAAAGTGCTTACTAAACTGTTTGCTATTAATTTATCTCAGAAAAACAACCTGACATTTCGAGATTCAGAAAAGCAAAAAATTCAATTCGTTACGACCATCAAGTGATAAGCTGAGAATTGACGAAACAGTTGACTTAACTATTCCAGTTAAATATGGAGATCTAAAGGTATGTCTTTAGTTAACAGAAATTGGAAGAAAATAATGTACTAAAGGCAGATGTTGGATGTGTAACTCTCCAACAGCATAAGAAGTGAATACAAAGGATTTTCCAAAACTGTACAAGTTGGTCTTTTTGATAAATGTAGAAGTATTGCACAAATAAATCGCATGGTTATGAGATACTCCGTTTTCTTATTATAGTATATAGATACGCAGGGATTATTGGTGACATTATTGAGCCAAAGTGAAGAGGCAAATCCTACTATTAAACCCTTACACTCAACATTAGTACAAACAGCGAAAATTGTCAGTTTTTGTTTTAAGTTGACTTATCTAACCTAAATATTTTCCTATAACTTTATATAGGATCGACCTTTGTAGCATATATCAGATAAGCATACTCGATGTCACTTTTGGATTGATGATGTGAGTATATAACTCTCAACTACTAGTCAGCAAGTTCGAATTCTTTTTCAATACAATTCAGGCATACCAGTAAAACAACTAATCATGAATACTATATGGAATAATACTTATTTATATGACTGAGATATATCACGATATGATGTCAACTCTATAAATCAAACATTTATCATAATTTAGGAGACTGAAAACGAATATAATACGTCAGTTGGGCGGTCTTAGTTTTACAGGATATTTCTTTTTATAATAGTAGGCTGATAACTACTTATGAGAGGAAAGATACAAAAGACAGTATATTTAAGACAGCAATACAAAAAAGTAGTGTTTTCACATTCATACAATTTTATTTATTTCAGGAAAACCGATACACTGGAACTTCATCACCTTTTGTTAGTATTCTTTCCACACCGCCTTTGGAAATAATAGCCAGGCGTACACAACCACCGCTAGAACCGTCTCTGTTAATGGCAAGAGCAACACCTGAATTGGATAAAAATAAAGATATTTCAAAACGTCGGCCTAACAGAACTTTTGTATTAGTTATGCTTAAAATTATTAAGTGGATAGGATTTTGGTTTTGAAGTCTTCATTCCGATCGCGCTTTTTTTGAGGACGTTTCATCACTAAGATACATATGCACATTTTATTACTGCTTATATTCCTATGATTAGAAATCGAACGCGTGATATGACTGCGGTCTCCTCGAATGACAAGTAAATCTAACTACAATGACTTTTGGTTGTGAAAATGAGCTAAAGTTTTTAATTACTCAATTTCAAAAGGACTATTTCTAAACAAGTTATGTGGCCAGTCTTAGGGAGATATTCCTTCGAATAACTGAACATACAACAGTAACCCAATGTATTTCAGGAATACTTTGGTATAGTACATTTCACAGCCCAAACACTTAGTAGTCCACAAACTTTCCTGGGTGGATATTTATACCTAATATCTGAGAAACCTCAGGGCGTTTCCACTCTTAATTAGGCACCGGAAAATAAAGAAAAATGGTGGTACCTGACGGTGAGAAAACGGCACTTAACTACGTTGACTAAGGAATCATGAAACGAATATTGAGCCAAAATATCATGTCACAGTATGGACTTTGTTGAAATCAAGAAGTCGCCATTTGATATAGTATTACAAGACACCATACAAGTAGGGAATATGGTCTAATTGTTATTTAGTTGCATTAGTCTTTCCACCCTTTAAATCGCATTCAGATAGCTTAAAATCAAGCCAAACAAACTGTTTTTCAAGAGTTAGAAAATCATTGATACTGAGAAAGGTATTAGAACATAGTAATTACGTGCATTTCAATACACGAGTTGTAAGTTGGAAAGATAATGGGAACCACTCGCCGTTCAAATCCAAACATTGATATCCGAAAATATAAGATTTAGATGAAAAAGAAAATCGTCTCATTCAGGCTGCTATATTTTAGACTTTCGAAGTATTGAAACGATGAGGATTAATGATTAACTCATTTATTTATTTAAACACACAAATTGGTACAAATAGATATTCGCCACATAAATCAACCGATTTGTGTGAAGGCTGGGATACTGCCCGGGTGCCTAAAGCGAAGCAGGTGGTTTCCTTAGAGAGCCATACCCGGGGCTTTTGACCTGAAGGTGCAATCCACAAGGCAGTGGAGAAACATATGGAGATGCAGTCCCATGGTAGCCGGTGACCAAAGCTTGGTTCATACCCCGTTTGTTCCATCAAGACCCTGTAGTCCATGTGCGTCATTGGTTTGGAATCAGGGTTTTCCAACCTCCCTAGGTGAACTCTCTGTGTCTACCAATCCCGTTAAAGCGCCGAACATTCACTTTTCGTCCGCTCGATTTCGTAAAAAAACACCCCCACCACCACGAGAAGGCAATGAATAGGACTTCCCTGGCAGTGGTTGTATGTGCGTGGCCATGTGAGAGCATTTAGAGGAGAGCTGACTCCCCCCACTCTCGGCCGTACCAGAACATTTAGGGGCTAATGGTTAACTCACTCAACTTTCATCGCGAATCATATGTTCTGTTTAGTCTTCCTTACTTTTACAGACACAACTACTCTCATATCCATCTTGGCAATTTATTTCGCTGTGTTGCTATGTGGCAACTTGAGTTCATTATTAAAAAGTGTAATGTTTGCAGTACAACTTTAAGTCTGCATAACCTTCACCCCTTGCACATAAAAAACGACTGTCTGGTAGTAAACTTCGATTTGCCGAGATTCTTGCATTTACTAGATATGTTACTACCATTATGCAACGCAACATGACTATTGACTATACTGTGGAGAGATTACGTCTCAAACAAACAGTTGAAAATGTTGAAGTACAACAAACTTTTACATCATTAACCGTTACAAAGCGGAGAGGTTACAAATAAAAATTCGTCGGACAAACTAACCTTTTAAAACAAAACTGACACACTCTTCTCTTGTCATTCCCTTGCGAAAACCGTGGTCCACGTACCCATAAGTATATGTGCTACCAGAACCACCAATAACGATTGGTTGTCTTATGAGCATTCCACCGAGAGGAATGGAGTATATCTATCTTCATTGAAAACGTAACAATGCTAATACCTGACCACCTAATTCTTCATCCCATCCAGCAACTATGATGCCTGCAACCAAGTCATCTCTGTAGTTGTAGCAAAAATGTTTGCAAGAAACAGCTGCTTCCAAAACAGTTGGTTCTCTATTCATTTCTAGGCGATGGAAATCTAGCTGGTAGCGGACCATATCCGCTACTGTTTGTGTGTCAGCAGCAGACCCAGATCGACAGCAGTATATAGATTTTGTCAATTGTGTCAGCTTGTCTGTTACACGGTTTACAACATACGTTCTATAATATAATCATAGAGATTATCATATATACCCAGATGATGTCCTAGAATCAGCTCCAATAACGACTCCTCCATCATATTCACATGCGAAAAGTGTGGTCTAAAAGATTCGTTTTGTAACATACTTTCTACTCACCCCAGTACTGATACCCTTTGTACTCTCTGATACATCACCAAGTACACTAAGCATTTTCTGCCGTTACGACAATGCTCAGATTTGCCGCTTTCTGAGAACAATATTCAAATGACTCAAATAACTGTAGACAAAAAAGCTTCTACTCAACCAGCTGCCGTGAATATTTGCAGCAGATTATTCATTCTTTGAGGTAGAGACTGAGGTATATAAAGCAAACGAAAACAAATGACGCATTAGAAAATAATACGTGATGTTTTACTGAGTATAATGGTAAATATACTCACAAAAAATAGTTCTGTAAGTCTTCAACATTGATGCTGATCTGATTAGTTTAACCAGACAAAATTTAGCTGAGCCTTATGTGATTTGGTACGCTATGTTCTAATATTATATATCGTATCTTACTTTCACATATCATAGGCGCAAGTCAAAGATACATTTGTGTCATGCGTTTATCTAAAGATTTTTGTTAAATATATATATATATATATATATATATATATATTTGTTGTGGATATGCAAGTGGTTGTTCAGATTGATTTTCATTACTTTCAAGACACAGATGAGCTGTGACCTCTTTGGTAAATTATTGTGAGCCTGTGTTAAGATCAAAAGTAGTTGGTCATTCCTAAAGTAATATTTGTTATTCAACAAACTAAAACACATGAATGTTCTTGGTTTTAATTTAATAATATTAAACATCTCCTCAATGGATTCACACTATGACATCCAAACCGCTGAAGATTAAATCTCTTTTGCCCACAACCTTTTAGCTCATGCAATTCTAGCCTGATAATATCGAGGCTTAATTCTTCTGTGCAGAAGCTGCTTTCCAGGAGCATCGCGTGATAGAGCGAAGTACGCAGTTTCTCGAAGTGGCGAAGGCGCTATCGCACGATTTTAACAGGTACGTCACACAGAGTATGTTTACTTGTGTTGTCTTTGGACCTTAACATACTTAAAAAAAAGCCATCCTTAAACGGAGAGGTTCAGCCGATTGACAAAGGTTAGATCAGCTCCTCCACAGTATCGAATTTCAACGCGGCTTAACGACAGAAATGTGCTATATATGCGAGAGGTCATTGTTCGATGGACTTATCGCAGACGTTGCAAATAGTCGTCTGCTATACATCACTGGTGTGGTGGAGAAAGTTCGTTAGCTCGTTGAAACTGCAGAACAAGTAAGCGATTTTCCCGTGAATGCTAAAAACTGTACACCAAGATCGGGTCTACAGCTCACAGGCAAACATGGAAAACCGATCAAAGCATACGGCAAGTGTTTATCTCAACGTGGTTTTGTGGAATTAATGGTCTACATCTTTATTAATATTATTACTGGGAAGTCACATCATTGTCCTCACTGACTCATCGTATCGTAACAATCGACAACACAATGTCTGTTGTTTCTAAAGAACACATTAAGGCTAGAGACAGAATAGTATCTTTAATGTGAATAAAAGAGAAAAGTTATACAGAATGACCACGCCTGCAAGGCTGCGCCATGCTATTTGACTGAATTGAATGTTCCTGCACTATTCACCCTCAATCCTCTCCTCGTTCCAATTTTGAAAACAAATCATTTCAGTAATTATGTGCTCGGCTTCGGAGGTCGTGGGGCTACGGTGCAATGCCACTACAGATTAACGTAAGCTAATTCACTAAATTTTCGCTATTAAAGATGTTTATATGCTGATCACTGGTATAAAGATGAAATAACGTCATCGACTTAAACCAACGGAAGCTACTAGATTTAAATAATAAATTTTGTTTGTCGAACTTTATTTTTCGGTTGCAGATTATGACCAGTGACAGTTAAGCATTTAATCGATCCATTTTTTCAACGAATACTCGGCGAATGCCCTGAACTTTGCAGAACTATCGTGTGTAACCAGTATTGTTGTAGACTGCACTACTACTACCACTACAGGTCCAGCTGTATTCTCGAAAGCTCTCTGGCTAGCTCCTGAAAGCTAAGAATGCCTTAAAAGGAATTCGAGCGGATGATAGACTTGAAAATTGTCCAAACAGTCCCTAGCACACGTTCCATAAAAAGAGAGCAATTGTTGGCGTCCGACTGGTGCCTGTAGGCGACGGACTGTGAAAACTCCTCCTGATTTATACTCCTCTTCATACATCCAGGGCCTGACAACAACGTTGAGATTAACAACCATCACCTCAAAGATCGACCTGGTTAAAATTCACAGCCAAATTCCAGTGGCTGCTGACGACAATCTTCAAACAACTATCATCAGTCCCTTCGGAGTCTGTGGATTTTCGGTTGATGTTGATGACTGCTTGATCAAAAATCCGGAAACAGGATCCCATCTCCAGCACCTGAGCCTTGAGTTCGAATGACTCCCAAAGTATGGCATTGCTGTAAAAATTCAAAAATATCATATTGGAACTGACTCCTTGAACTCTTGAGCGCTATATTGCCCAAAGTAGTGGCTCTCTGCAAAGCAAAGTGGTGACCTATCTGGATTACCCAGAACCAATCACGGTCAAGCAATTTCGCTCATTCAACAGCATGGTATGTTTTTATCGATCGTACATACCTAATCGCACATCTCTAATGAGACCTTTAATAGACTAATTTCACTGAAATGTACAAGTCATCAATTCAGAAAATTATAGCAAAAGCATGTAGACTAAAGGCTTAATTCGGTCTCCATACCTTTTACTCTACTGTTATAATGATAGACTTGATCCCAAAATTGTAGCTTTGTCTAGATGTAACTACGTAATGTATAAGATCATTATTTACACTAACTAGTCTTACGTGACGACCAGCAATTTGATGTTCAGTACTCCTTAAGAACACATTTAGGCTTATAATAGAATAATATATTTAATGTGAATAGGGATAAGTTAAACGGAATGGCCACGCCTGAAAGACCAACTCATGCCAAGTCGATCCTTTTTTTTGCGTGTTCGTCATCTCCTGCCCCTTTTCCGCGTTAAGTGATGACTGCGAATTTCCTCAATTATCTTATGCTCAGCTTCAAGTATCTTGTCGTTAAGACCAGTGCGAGTAACTTTGCATCAAAGTACCCATTGGTATCTCCATACACGCATCAACTTTCACTACGGACCGTGGACACCAGTTCGAATCTGAACTTCTCAGTTGTCTAATTTTACTATTAGGGATAACGCGATTTCTAACAACCGCCCTCCATCCACAAGCAAACATGTTGTTAGAACGCCTTCACAGACAGCTTAAAGCTTCCCTATCGGCTGCAAACGTTTCACTACTTTTACTTGGTATCCGCAATGTAGTGAAAGCTGATATTGGACACACCGAAGCTCAACTTGTTTATGAAACGACACTTCGGCTTCCAGGAGAATTCATGAACGCTTCATCTTCTCCCATGCATACAGATGTAAACTCCTGTACGAGCGGGCTTACGAACTCTATGAGTTCAAATAAACATGTTTCCATTCGACCACAGTCAACTAATGTTTTTGATGGATCTGTCTTACAACGAAAGATCTTTCAAAGTCTCAAGTTAGAAATTTAAATACTATATCTTGGATAAAAACGGAACAGACGATAACGTCAGCACCAACCGTCTTAAAGCCTCATATTTGAAAATGAAACCATAATAATGTTCACTCTCTTACTGCACAAAACTCTTTAAAGAGTGTGAGATGTCTAGACCTCACCAATTTTAAAACTTTTACCCCTTGCTACCGACTGCACATACGTTTTTCAACCTCTAACCACCTAGTAAACAGTAACCCCGTACGACGAAATCACAATTGTTTTTCTGCATGCTTGTGCTTCTGTACGTACATTACGTCTGCTTCATACAACTTTAAGTACGTTGCAACACTTATAAACACAAAATCGTCAACCCAAACTACCTGACTTTCTATTTTGGGACAATAATAATACGGTAATCAACGCCGGCTAAAAATGCACTTGTCGTACTACCACTGTGATATCATCAATCTTAACTCAAACCTCACTTTTCTTGTCTGAGGACGTTAGTCACTTATCGGTTATATCTCTTTCAATGCGACCGAATAGAACAAATCTTTATTTTTGTTTGTAAAAGTCGTTTCAAATACCATCAGTGTGTCTCAAGTGGCCATACTTCAATTCTAATTTATGGGTGTCTTCGCTAAGGTTAGTATTAGGGTTAAGCTTCCAGAAGGGCATCGGGCTATGCCTAGGACTACGGGTTGTTTTGTATGACAAAATTTGATGTCCACCATAATTTTTATATTCTATAAATTAGAAGACCGTTATTACAAATCACTCGTCACTAACCTATTGTTTCCTTGATCTACTTCTGTTATCGCCATAATTTCTAGAGTTCCAGACTAGCGTTTTGTGCTGGCCAAGAATTTAGTAATTACGCGAAATAGACAAAACCGTATAATTTCAACATAACGATATGTATATATACCCGAATAAACTTAGATGGAGATATACAGACAATTGATAGTCACAAAACCAGATAAAATCAAACCATAAAGGTAAATTATATTGTAGCGTGGAGTCGAGATTGACTAAGAACACCACTACAAGGAAACGCGTGCCAAACAAATCAGAAGGCGAAGATTGAACGTAACCAGGTTTATCCCGTTGACGATCTCGTGGTACCGAACGAATACCAAGATCGAGCCAAAAGGAGTACAATTGGAATCAGGGGGCAAGAGTACTAACGTACGAGGTCAAAATCCGAGGAGAAAGTAATGGAGAGTAATGGTCGTACAATATGTCTGTCATTAGCACAGTTAAACAAAAGCACATCAAAACAAGCACGGGTACAATTGGTTATAATAATAATAGTTGTTTTCATTAAACCAATCGCGTTCCCGTGATAAAAGTAAGTCACTACAACATAAAACGCCAAGAGCCGCACAAACAATTGTCTCTCAGTAGTAATGGATATTTCTAACATAAAACGTAACCCTGTTCTCAAGGAATAGGTCCGGCAATGCGAACAGGAGCGGTCAAAGATAAGGTCACTCAGTATGGCAGATTATAAAGTTGATTAAAACAATACCAACCCAGTCATTAAAAAAACCAAAAAGCCTAAAAGCAA